CCCGCGGCCGGGTCTGTCAGGCGCCGGGCGGTCAGCCGTGCTCCTCTCGCTCCGGCCTCAGGCTCCCCGTGCCCGCCCAGCCGCCTTCTTTCTATTTACTTTCTGCGGCAGGCTTGCCTTACGTGTTTATTTCCCGGGGTGGAGGTGGGGTTAGCCCTGAGGTGGGGTTTGGCCTGGCCTGACTGTGGTGATCCGCGGTCTGCTCCCCTCCCGGTGCCTCTGGTTCTTGCCGGGGTTGGAAGCTCTGTGCAGCTGGCGGTGCGGTGACGGCCTTCCCCAGCGCTTCGTGGAGGTGTGAGGTTGTGCAGGGCAAGAAAAGCGGCAGTGCGAGCAGGCTGTGCGAGCAGGGAGGGAAGGCCGAGGTGTGAAGCAGTGGTAAGCTGCTCGGGCGCTGAGCGCAGAGCAGGGGTCCTGAGGGGATGATACTTGTGTGAGTTAGAGCCAGGTGAGTTCTGGCTGGTGTCAGTCAGGTCACACTGCTCTCCCAAATGAGCTCTTGTCCTCTGTTACTCAAGCTCCTAGTCCTGACATTGCTACTAGCATTTTGTGACAATTTTAGACTTTGTTTTGTTGATGCGTATTGTATACCTGCTCATTAGCCTGTGTGGCGGGATTCTGTCTGCTCCATTCTACAACTTCATGTATAACTTGTGATTTACTCCAACACAGGATGGGTAGGTATATCTATCACAGTTGATGTATTACAGCTGGTGAAATCCCTCACCTGACACTAACTTTTTTAAAGAGGTATGTTAGCAGCCGCTTTATTACCACAGTTGTGGCTGGAGGGATGGCATTCTGCAGTTGCGTTTTCATGCAGGTCTCTTCAGAAAATTCATAACAGCTTCCTCTTATTGTTGATATACAATTGTCACTGCTGTGGTAAGTACTAAAGATTCCTGTCTGCCTCCTATAGATTGCCGTTTGCCTTCCACATCACTGGTGCCTCCTTCTGTAACAAATGCTTGTGGCTTATTAATCAGCTAACTGGTACAGTGTGTTCACTTACATGCCTTGTTTATCAATGATTATCATGCTCAGCCATGTTTGTAATATTGCTTAGGCTGACACGTTCTAAGTCCTCACTGATACGGTGTTTGCAGAACACAGTTCAGCTGTTGACATTTGTGATATCTCATTTTCAGACCTTTGGTAATGTTTATTTCCTGTGCAGGGAGTTTTGTTATTGACAACTAGTCTTTTGTTGTTCTGTTGTTATCTTTTCTTGGTTTGTCTACTTCGCCTTCATTCCTAGATGCTTGCTTAGTTCTCATAGCACAAGAGAGGTTTCAATAAATCCTCTTGTCCTTTCTTGGATCAGTGGGTATGCAGCCTTTCTTATTATTCTAGCGTCATTTATTTCAGTCTCAAAGTCAAGAGTAAGAACAGGAAGGATATTAAAAAAGAACTAAGAGCTAATGTTTGGGTTCTTCTATTCTCCTGCCTTATTCTTAAAAATAGTTGTATTTCAGCTTTTTGCATGGGAGGCTACTGAGTGAATTAGCTGGATAGAGGATGAGGCTGACCTAAGATTGTGCCAGACTGTCTTTTGCGGGGGGGAGATGTGGAGGTTAGGGATAAAACCTTCCATCTTGCAAAACTGTTTCTGAAGAAGTTAAACTTAAAAATTAATTTGTTCTACTCTTCTTGTAAAAGCTATATTTTTCTATTCAGGGAATGAATAGCAGCTTAGGCTCTTAGTGTTTCTTAAAGCTGCATTATTAAACTTTTAATCTGAAAACCCATAGATTAACACACTGAAATAGTCGCTGTTCTGGGATGTGGTATTGGGAAGGAAAGATGGCAAAATAACATCATTTGTCCTTGACACAGGCATGTGGAGAGGTTATCCAAATCTACTAAGTTCCAGCTGTACTTTTAGATGTAATTTGATGTACTATAGAAAATGGTGGCTTTCGAGCACTGATTCAAACCTTCTGTAGTTGTAGTTTAACTTCACTCGATAATGGAAGTGTCCTGGGTGCTGCTGGATTCACACTGCCCTTTACCCCCTTTCTTGCTCTGTATCTCCAGCCTCTTCGTCCTTACTTTCATGCTGCCAGCTCTGGCAGTGCCAGAACTTGGATTAAGTTAAGAACAGGACTTAGCAAAGTCTCTAAGGGTGTACGTGCTGGGGTCTTTGGTGCTTGTAATTCCTGTTGAAAGGTGCAGACACCAGCCTGAAACTGGTGTTTTGGACTTTTCAGCAAAAACCTAAATCATCAGAGTTCTGCTAGTATATTGGAGTCTTCATTTACACTTTGGAGTTTCTCTGGAAGATGGTATTTCATGATGTGTTATAGCTCTGAATTGCTATTCTTAATGTGTACTATAAATCAACTGAACTTCTGTGCAAATATTTGCCCTTCTTCAGCCTAAATAGCTTGTGAAGATTAAGCTTATATGCAGTTAAAAAAATCTGATCAAACTCAGCTGATTGAGTTCAGTACCAAACAATTGATTTAATTTCAATGTGCAAGGGCAGTCTGTCCTTCTTAGGGAGAAGCAAAGTCCCACTTGCCCAACATATGTGGGTGGCAATGATGCTAACCTAGTAAGGCAGCTATCTTAGCCTCTTTTAGCTCTAGGAAGGCTTGTGTGCCCAAGGGCTTGTCTTTTCTCCAGCTATATCAGTTGATTTGATAATGAAGATTGTCTCTAACTGCCAGTATTACCCTGCCAGCAGTATTAATTCAAAATGCTTTGCAAAGCAGTTCTGTACAAACCAGGTGCTGGAACATCTTTGTGCCTGTGCTCTGTTAGAGGTAATGGCAGTGGAAGGAAGTGTCGTACTTTGCAAGGTACAGGAGACTTTCATCTGTATCTCTAGATTGACCCAAGAAGTGCAGTTGCCTAGTGCTCTGCACTACTGTTTACATTACTCTACTGTTGAGAAATACTTGCGTTTCTCATCATCATGGGTTCAGTCTGACTAAAATAAACGGCAGTGACAACCTCCTCTACTAATACAGGCTGAGCTCCTGCAAGCACCAAACCCACCTGAAACTTCTGATACACTAGCTGCTAATAATTGTGCTACGGCCCTTTTCAGGGCATTGAGTACTCAGTGTAACAAGGGCTCCTCGTGGAAAGGGTCAGCTAGGACAAGTGACTGGCTGCTAGTGAGGAGCTGACTGCTCAACAATTTGTCCTGTGTCTAAATTTACTCACATGTTCAAACATGCTTTTGCATAGAGATGCAGGTTCTAGAAAGATTATGCTGCAGGTGTCCCTCAACTGGAACGCCCTGTTCTGTGAAGTGTTGGTTGGGCATACGTGAATATGAAAGATTGTACTAAGTGAAATAAGCAGATGCACAGTCACTTACAGTGAACATCCTTGTAAGAGTTAAGGAGAAAACATCATGAGATATGTGCCTGCAATATCCCTAACCTCCCACTCAGATTTAGCAGGAGAGTGGGCAATGTAGCTCTTCAAACTTGTGAGTTGCTGGTGACTACTGTAGTGCTCCAAAACCTCTGTTTGTTTTAATTGTTGTTCTGACAAAACCTGAGTATTCTGCAGTAGTGGTAGCTGTGTGTTGGTCAGGTCCTGTCTCTTTGTATTTGGGTTCTTTTGTCCTGAAGTGTTGTTGCTTCATTTTTAATGTAATGATGTGAATTAATCTTCTCTAGCGTGAGCCTTCTATCTGTCATGGACAGTCTCTGAGATAATGACTCTGCAAATCTGCTGTACTGCTGTGGAGCAGAGCTGCTCGTCAGGGGAAAAAGATAGGTTGAAGACCTCAGAGTGAAGTGGCACCTCAGCTTTTGATCATGTTCAGATACAGGTGTTTTCCAACTGCTTGAACTGGACTGGTCTTGAATGAAGTTCTCTTAGCTGCCTGAACTTCTACTTTGGTAGTAGATGGTCTTTCTCTGCTGTGCAACTAGTCTGGGGTGGAGCATGCTCCCCACTTACTCAGCTGTGCACCCTGTAGCTAAGCAAACAGCTTGGACTTCAGGCTGCTCCTCTGATAGGTACATCTGAGCTCTATGACAGTCTGGAGTCTGAGGGTGAATGAGGCTTTGATGGTATGATGCTGCTTTTCAAAATATAGTGAAGGAATACAGCAGACTCTTTTGGGGTGGGTTTAATCTGTAATGCAGTCTGTATTAGCTCACTTAGCTATCTGTGGCTTGATGCTAGTAGTGTTCCCTCAAGTACTGAGCGTGGATTGTTGGGTTCTCTGCAATGTGTTTATTCCACTTCTTCCTTTGAGCTTAATGCTGCCTGCTGACACAGGGTTATGTGGTAGGTAAGTGACACCTGCTAATGCTGTAAGACTGTGGAAAGGTGTTAGCCAGTATTTCTTCTCCCTCGGTACCTAAAAGTAAGCTTGGCCTCTTCTACAAGGAGCCAAAGCTCTGCCCTGTAGTTCTATAAGGCAGCGGTTAGGGTGTGATAAAGTCCTAAGTCTCTGCAGTAATCAAGTAATTATGTTTGTTTAAATAACATGAGCCTTTCCTTTAAGATAAGATGCAATTAATTGATTTTTTTGTGGAGTCATCAGAGTCTTGTCTTGTGTTAGTTTAATCTTGTACATCAGGGGTGTGCAATAGAAGCCAATGTAGTGTTTTTAATCCATCTGTGACAAGCAGGAACCAGATATGGTGACATACAGGGATTCTACATAGCAACCACCTTAGATAATATACGAAAGCTGCCTGTCATGCAGTAGAACCATTTTGATCAGTTAAAATGATATTGTGAAGAAACAAAAGCAGTTCCTGTAGTTGGAAGGAAGTGAAATTCAAGGCTCATTTGACTGTAAATTAGCCTTCTTGAGGAAGTGAAAGACTTAAAGAGTCTTTGGCCCCCTTGGCTATAGAATTATTCTCAGGTGTTTTCTTAAGCAAGCTGCCTTCGCATGTACACCCAGCCCTCTTAGGTGCTTGGCTTCTGCTCTGAAGGCGTAGGACTTCTCAAAGTCAAAAAAGGAAAAAAAGCTCCAGTTAAAGGCACCTGTCTTTCTGGCTGTGCTGATGGTACCTCGTGCTATGAACTTTGTCCCTGTAACTTCACGGTACCTCTAAATTTAGTATATGAGCCAAGTATTGTATCTGATGAAAAGGTCAAATTCCAGTGAAGGCACCAGCCAAGAAATTTTTGTTGGAACGTGTTGTAAACAGTACCTGCTGCTTTGTATACTCACCATCACCAACCAGCCAAATTCTGGCCTGGGTGCTGGCTCTGGCACAAGGCGGAGGGATTTGCGCCAAGGACTTCCATGTGCTGTCCGAGTAATGTTCTTTTAAGCATCCTTGTGATGGGACATGTCAGTGTGCCCTCTTATTTGGAGATAAAATCTGTCAGGTGTTTGACAGTAAAACTGCGGTGGGCTTTGCCAGACTCCTGATGACTCTGGCGAGGACTGCACTTTATCTCTCATGGCCACATCTCCTGAAAACTGAAGCTTAAGTGCTTAGCTAATTCTTAATTATACCCTCTATGCTTTGAGGTCTGAGACTTAGCTGGCTGTTTTAAATGGCCAAAAGTACTGAGCGGTACATTGAGATGATCTCAGCGTTTGCTTCTGACGTGTTCTCTTCTGAGCTACCACTGAAGATGATAGGAGGTTCTGCATGGGGTAAGCTTGGGCTGGTTAGATGCCAGTCTCAAAATAAGCAGTGTGATGCCTTGCTTTGTGTGCCTAAATCGATGAGGCATAGTACTGGTGTGGCCCTGAAATACTTGTATCTATGTAGTTCTTCAGAGACCTTAAAGTAGCAGTTTAGGCTCAACACCTCTTTCCATAAAAATGAAAGCATCTTTTATACAAGAAGTACTGGGTGAAAGGCAGGATACGGGACTGCGCAATAAAGCTTGAGGTTTTTCATGATTCCTCTTGCACAGATTCTTGTACTCATGTAGCTTGTGTGACCTCAGACTGTCCTCCAGTGCTTTACAAAAATTTAGTCTGGCAGCCTTTCCCATCAAGACACATTGCTTCGGATTCTTTTGCAGGTGTATACATTCCCTATGTACATTTTCTTCATCTGGATGGTCTCTAAACATCTTCCTCTGCATTTAAACCATTGAAAGCTCAGCAGTGTGACATGCTTCTGTACACTCCCTGGAGTGAGATTCGAATCATATGCTGGCATAAAACTTGGCTTTGTTTAAAAAACTTTGTAGTGCTCTGACTTTCCACCCTTTCCTTAATAAAGTTCCCTTCTCTGTAACGTGGTTCTAAATATCCTACCTGGTAGTGACAGGCCTGTAACTTCTGGTTTTGCGGTGTATGTCTCAGAAGAGGCATTAGCTTTGTCTGATATTAAAGATGATTAAGTTCCTGGAAACATTCTCTAAAGAAGTAACTGCAGTGAAACAGTCTTTCTTCTTCCCCCTTCAAAGAGGGGGGGGGAAACTTATTTCTGATCTGAATCTGCCTAGGCACAGCTCTTTAAAGTAGGGTGTTTTGCTTTCCTCTTGTCTAGCAGGCCTGCTTTCAGTTTTATTCTGCAAGCAGGCACTACAAATAAATGAAACCAGTCCAAGAAATGTCTGATAAGCTAGTTAACGAAGTCTGTCTGCTTAATCTGTCTAGAAACAGCCTCCTTGGCTCTTCTGAATCTTAGTGGGGAAGAGACGATATTACGCTACTTGGTAGAAGCTGTAAAAGGATATGAAAGGGGATTTCTAAATGCTTTCAGTGTTGGCCAGGTATGCTCCAGTGTTTTGGTGTCCAGCTAAGCTCTGAAAGCACTAGTGAGCCAGAACGCTGACTGGTGGGGAGGGCATCTAGGAGGCTTTTGTATCAAACTGCCATTCCTGGAAATGGGATTCCTTCAAGATTCTTCAGTGAATGTAACAGAGCATAAAATGTCTTGCTAGTGGAGCCCCTTTTAAAGAGGCTGCCTTTACTCTTGTCTGTGGGCAGTTGCATACAGCTGCATCTTCGCTTTAGCCCAAAGCATTTCTAATGCTTCAGTGAAATGAGTCTGCCAGGCTTTCAGTTGCTCATTAAAAGGCCTGAGGGAAGGACCCTATGGGAGTGGCTTCCTTTAATGTCTTTGCTTTTTTAATGTTGGCTTTCCAGTATGCCTTGTCAGGCTTAGCTTCAGCATGGGTGGAGGAGCTGTAATGCTTGTAGCTACCAAATCCTGTGCGTGCCCCGTTGAGTCGCAGGGTGAAGTGACTTCTGTCCCTGGAAGAGTCTCCTCTCCCCAGGAACCCTGGAAAAGAAATGTGTGCAAGTCTCAGATTTGTTGTTAGTCATGACTTCACTTGCTGTACAAGTAAATACCTTGGCAATGGCTTTCCCAAAACCCAGTGTTTTTGAAAGGATACATGAGGAATTTGCTGTAGTTCTACTGGCTTTTGTGGTACTCGTTTCTATTCCTGTCTGGAATGGTTTTTTTCTCATTATACTTGTACAGGAGAGGTGCGCTCTGTTAACAGTAGTGCTGAAGTGTTTCCTGTAACATGATTTTCAGTTTTTTATTCTATGATGAAAGGGCAAATGGAGGGACTCCACAAATCCAGCACTTACTCTCTAGTGACTGATTTTAAAGTTAGTCCTCAGTCACAGATGGGACTTAAGAATATCGCTTGAAAAGACTGTCCATCTTTGGGGCTGTCATGCCTTTAAGTGACTTTTAAAAAAGGAATTGTACACTTAAGGTGCTTCAAAATAACATCCTTGGCCCTAAGAGCTTCAGCTTCTTTCTGTTCCTCAATGTGGATCCCAAAACCCTGTGATGGATGAAAAGGCAGGCTTGATTGCTTCCAGTGATATACTTACTGCCTCTCGTTAATTTTGTCTAGCCTGCTAAAAGTGAATCTAGTGTTCTGTATACAGAAAAGGCAAAATGTCTGTCTGTTTATATTAATGCTGACCCATTTAGAGGAGATTCTAGATTAAAATTTGACTGGCTCAACACTGGTTATCTGTCCTTTTTCGTAAACAGACAAGTTTATTGGGTCAATGCAAAAAGGGTTTAACAAAACAGAAACAAGGTGACCTCATCCCTGCTTGTAAATAGCAAGGCATTTGTCCTATGTGATTAGAGGCAGAGCTCTCAAATCCATTTCAGTAAGCTAAACCCTTAAAATCTTAGAGCGGAGTGCTCTGGCTCAGCCCCTGCAAATCTGCCCTGGCTGAGACAGGTTTGTTTAGGTCTTCAGAAATACCAGACTCTCAAAGTACCTGAAGTGCCACAGCTGGATCCACAAGGCATGGAGTTTACCAATCTAGTCATCTTGGACTAGATTCATTGCTTAGTTAATCACTGCAGACAGCTGTGCAACTGCAATAGCAGTGCCAGTTTTGTGATAGCTGTATACAGACTGATCTGAGCTTTTAGGTAAAGGTCCTGACAAATACATGAACCTCTAGTACATGTTTATGGTGTGTATGTTCAGTGACTGTGTATTTAGACTGTCTAAGAGGGGAAAAATACTAGTTCACAAGTGTCAAAGCATAATCCTGCCTACCAACAGCTGACTTTTCAGAAAAGTAACTCCAAGCTAGTATGCTTTTTTAAGGTAGTGATAGGCAAAAACTGGATATAGAAGTATCAAAAAGATGTGGTATGTTTGTAATCTGAAGATTATGTGGGAGAGAAGACTCTCAGGGAGATACAGCTTAGTTGGATGAGTTATACTGAGTCACTAGTACAAAATGCTAATGACTAATCATGCCCAGTTTTATTTTTTAACAAATTCACTAATTCTGTGAAAGCTGTAAACAGCAAACTAGCTTAAAATCCAGGTGGCAGGAAGGTCTTAGGTGACTTTTGTATCAGTGTCTCTACTAATTCTCTGAAACAATGAAGGGAAGATGCCAACAGAACTTCTGGGAGTTTTAGCTGGGGAAGACTTGCTCAAGCATCTGTCCTTGAGTCAGTGATGGTTCAGGAACTCAATCCGCTCTTCTGCTGATTGTACCTTCTCTGGAGAAGCCATTGCTGTAGTTTGCCTGTTGTCTCCTATGCAGATGGTGGTAGTATTGTTTGAAAGTCTAAGTATGGAAGTGAGGTAACATACTGCAGCTGAATGTCATACTTGAACTCTTCATTGAGACACATGATGCCAATGTAATCTTCTGATTAGAAGAAGAAATGGCTTTTTGTAGCCCACTCCTCTCCCTTCTACTGTGAAGCTCAGAATTGGAAAATAAAAGCTTCAGAGTTGTCCAATATTAAATGTCTTTGCTTTCCTTGCCCTCTGTTCTCCTGCAGTGCGGACGGTTATGGTGGCAGAAAATTGCCGCTTTCCAGTATGCTGTTAATCGATAGCTGATGTCAGACTTGTTTTCCTCCAAGGGATTTTGGTGTAGCTGCACTGAGTACAGAAAGTACTTCTGAGGTTTTGTCTTCCTGCTAGGAAGAAGAGTAAGGCTTTGGTATGGCCTGTACTGTTGATGTATTTTCCGAGTTGGAAGCAGCAGCTGTGGTAGAGAGCAGATGGTTCTGGAGCTTTTTCCTGCAAGCTCCGATTCCCCATTGGGTTGTTGTGCCTGTAGGAATCCAGTTCTAATTGTAAATATCGCTTACATTTTTATGGTTACAGGCTGAAAGCTCTCTCTCTTTTCATTGGCATCATCAAGTTCTTGTAACAAGCGTTGGTGCGTGTGCACTAGTGATAATTAGGTGGCTGTATCTGAGCCTCCTGGTGGCTCTCACCATCTTGTTAAAGTGTGATATGTTGTAATGTCTCAAAAAAGCAAGTGTGGGAACAAGCAGAGACTGTTTACAAGCTTCTATCTGTAGGAGTGAGCTGCCTTGCTAAGCCTGAGTAAAAGTAGCAGGAAACTTCTTTCAGACTGGCTTCACACTTCAGTAACAGTGTAGATATTGCACAAAGCTGAGAACAGTAGCCTGTTACTTCTAGTCTTTCAAATACAAAGGGATTTGAGTAGCTTTTGTAACTGGGGACAATGTCACTGTCTTGCAAAGATGGTAACTGTGTGGTCTTCTGGAAGTTCATAGCTTGGCTTTCCTCTGAAGTTGCACTGGTTTTCGTTATTGCTTTCTGTCTTATCTCTGCTCGTGAAGGTGTATTTGCATACTGCAAATGAATTAGTATGCCGTAGGCAACTGATCTAGTCTGGAATCTGTCCATAGGGAAGAAGTTTGATGCAGATGGATCAGAGTTGAAGTGGTTATGACTGAATACACAAATCAATTGCAGTGTCTACAACATGACCTCTGTATAAATTTGTGCTTTTCCCTTCCAGCTGAGAGATGCAGCCTTATCAATAATAATCAATTTGCTTTTCCTCCCCTCACAGGGTAACTCAGGTAGTACGTGGATCCAGATGGTGGCAATTCTACTGAGGACTGGCAATTACTTCTAGTTTGAAGAAAAAGTGACGTTGGTAAGACTTGACTTGTCAGTTGCTATCTTACTTGGGTTACCCATGTGGCTGAGGAACAACCCAGGGAAAAACCTGCCCTTTCAACATGCATGAAATGTCCCTGTAATAACTGCAGCCAGCCATTTGAACCATATGTTCAAAAGAAGCTGGCTCAGTTTAAGAATTTGATTTCAAGCTGGAAGGATATTGTTATATTGTGGATTTTTTAATTCTCTCTCCTGCCCCACTTCCTTTACTCTGAAGCCCTTGAAAGACTACATATTAATCTAGTCCTCCTTCAGCTGCAGAACTACAGTGAATTAAAAGAAATGCTGAACTCACTGGTACATAAAGTGACCACCTTAAATACATGCAAGAGTTAGTACCAGTATTCTCATGGAGTTGCAAAATTCAGGCTGAGGAGCTAACACAGTAGTTCTTTCAAGTTCTTCTTTTTGAGCCTGGCTTGTATACGTGGGAAGAAACACACATCTAAAGCTGCTGATGTGCCTTTATAGCCTGGCTTTTCACTCAGCTGCTATTTGAGCCAGGTAGTCTTGGCCAAGATCCTGAAAGTATTGACTGGCTGCAGACTGTAGGGTTTGACACCTGAGACACTGTTGCAATTCTAGTGCAGCACTGATTAGGAATAAATCTCCTTCCCACCTGATCATCCAGTTTCTATTTCTTGTGGTGGTCAGGGTGTTTAGAGCAGTACAAGATAAACTTCCTTTCATCTTAAAAGTTGCTAGTCTGAGTTGATATGGTAGGATTTTTGTAGCAGTGTTAACTGAAAATTTAGTTGGTTAGCAGTCTTATATTTAACATGGCAATTGATATTCCTATCCACCAGTATATTACAAAAAGCTTTAATATTGTTTTTTATCTCCAGGCTCAAAATGAGTGCAATGTTGGAAACCCCTGAGCTGCCGGCGGTGTTTGACGGGGTAAAGCTAGCTGCAGTTGCTGCTGTTCTGTATGTTATTGTTCGCTGCTTGAATTTAAAAAGCCCAACTGCCCCTCCTGAACTCATTTACCAGGACTCTGCTTTGGCCCGCTTTCTACTCAAATCCTGCCCGCTTTTGACCAAAGAGTAAGTAGTATCTTTTTTCCACGTTGACCTGTGTTATAGGGAGAAGAGCTGCACTTTGTCTGCATAGTGTTTCTTAAACCTGGGTGCAAATGAATGTCAGGGTTTTCTCTTCGTAAAATAAACCTGTTCCAAGTGAAGCATTTCATTATTGTTAGTGTCCCAGGTACCTGTGTTTAGGACCAAGCCTTATTGTGCGGGGCTCTCCATGGATGTATAGAAATAGTCATCCCTGCCCCTCTGTATAGTAGCTGTATGCTGATACTGTACTATACCAGTACTATATAGCCCATTGTCTCTGGAAATGGGGGAGAGATGGATGCAGTCAGCACTTGTTCCTGTTCATGTACTCCCCTTTCTATTAGGGAAGAAATCTGCCAGGGCTCACAGGAAGGAAACGCTTTCATGGTGTGTCTGTGTGCTTATAATGAATACAGGGATGTCTATTAGTTTAAAAGTGCCTACTCTTATTTGAAGTGCCTTAAGTTGATTGAAGACTAATGAAATTTATTACTGGATAGAGCACATCATCACAACTAGTTTAATAAAGTAATGACATACTGACCAGCTCTAAGCTTGTTGAATCCCCTTTCAAATTGACCTTATGTCAACTGTGTATTTGAGAGCAGGCTGATCCTTGACCTTCCATTGTAGGACCTCCAGAATCAGTGCAGTTGCCCTTGCCTTCACCAATAATGTGAAGCATTTACTACAATTTTGTGAGGCTTTGGAGGTACAAGGACTTTGATTACAGTATTTCTCTTCTGCAATCACTTTGAAAACTTGCAAGTCCTATTTAGAAGCCCTAAATACATCAATTGTCGAGTCAGCACTGAGTGCAGCTGCATGAACCTTCCTTTTGGGTCTCAAAAGTCAAGCTGACTTAATGATAGTCATTCTAGGGGTGATGAGAGGCTTTTAGCAGTGCTGTGTTAGGTGCCTTGATTACATAAGGTGCAAGATCTTAGGCCATAGGATCCGTAAAGTCTTAGAGGAAACAAAGTATTATCCAGCCCAAAGAGGGTTCCTTGATGGACTCTGAGTTTGGTAGTAACATAAGTGTGTGTTGAAGCTGAGCACTGAAATTGGATTCTTGATTATGGCTAGTGCCTTAACTGCAAAGCAGTTGCTTCCCTAAAAAATACCAGGTAACTAGAACCTCCTTAGTGTATCTTAGACACTTGTCATCTCAGTGTTGGCACTCCAGATTGACATGTCCCTAGTCACCGAAAGAGCAAGCATGAAGCTGTACTGATTACCAGTCTTGAAGACACATTAGTATCAGGCTAATCTTTGGAAACAGATTATAAGCTAATTCAGAGTCCGTTTTACTCCTCTTTCGGCTCTGTTCTCATGGCACAAGCTCCTAGCACTAGTGTATTAGAGGCATGTTTTGGACCTTCACTTGGAGAACAAAGCATTCCCAAAGGAGTGAAAATGCAGAACATATCTAAAAATTGCAGTACGCCTGTTGTGTGTTAATTGCAGGAGTGAAGAGCTGCTTGCAGAACCCTGGTGTTGTGTTAATAGCGTGCAATCTCAGGTTGTTTGCTTTCTCTGGATCACCTTAGAGCTCAGGCTTGCCAGCTTCTCTGAAAACTGTAGCAGTGATTTTCCAACACAAGGTTCTTGGGCAAAACATTGCTTCAAAGGCTTGTGTGACCCCAGTAAACAAACTGAGCTGAAACAAACTAGAACAACATGTGTCATAGGTAGTTGTTCAGTCTTGTTACCTGGATACCTGTGTTATGGGAGACAGGAATATAATTGCTGTTGGGGGTTGAAAGGGCTTACAGGAAAGACAACTCTGTAAGATGATGTATGTGTGATTTTTTTTTTTGCTATTCTGTTGATATCTCAGACTTCTTACAGAAATTAAAAAAAAATCAAAGAAATTCTGTCTTCAGGCATGAAAGTCACCTGGAGACTAAAGGGGAACAAATATATTTAAATTCCTGCAATTATGTATGAAATAGTTTGTAGGACTAATTAGCAAAAAGCTATGTGGAAACAGCTCATGCCATGCTCCACTGAAAAATCTTGTAAGGCTTTGATTACTTGATAATTATTCAGTGTTAGGAAAGCTGATTAAGCAGCTCTTTTCAAATTCTACTGTGAAAGCAAAATAAGTAGCCCAGCAATCCCTTCTGTTATATCAGTACTGGGTTTGTTGTAAGATCTGTTATAAGACCAGTTCTTCTGTACAGCTGTGACCTGGCTTTCAGACCTGGTTTCTTCAGCTCCCTTATGCTTAAGGGAGGAAGGGGTGAGGGTATCGCTGGAAAAAATAGGGTGGCAGGGAGAAAGCAGAAATAAGTGAAGTTATTCTATCTGTGCAGCTATTCAAAATACTTGGAAAAAACCCTTTTGGAATTTTTTCCCCTTCATGGCACCTTCCTCACCTATGGCCTTATTCAATACATTATAACCGTAGTGTCATTCAGCAAGCCAAATGGTGGTGGATGAATAATTTAAGAGCTTTGGATAGTAAAACTGCCCAAGATGGCTGCATGCCAGGTACCTTGTACTTGCAGATGTTAGTACTGCTTTTTACAATTCTCTAAACTGCTAGAAGCTTTCTACATATTGATCAAACACTGGTAAGCAATAGACTCTGTCTTCCTAGAGCTCATGTTTTCTTACCTCTTTTTTTCCCTTCCTCTACCCCTGTCCAGCTCTGTAGTTTGGCTTACGAAGTGGAGTAGCATAATCAGACCCTTTTTCATTCAAAGAACTGCTTCTTGCATGGAAGCTCTTGCAAATCAGCACAGCTATTGGTGCCCTCGAGCACTCGGGTCTAACCCCTGGCTGCAGCTGTCTCCTTTTCCTGTCTTTCAAATTGCTGCAAGAAAGGCTGCCATCTGCGCTATTATTCCTCTAGAAATGCAGCATTGGCTCTTTGATTCATGAGAACAAATTTGGCCAGTGCTTGCTGTACTGGGCTAGAGATTTTTTGGCTGTTCCCAATTTCTTCTACCACCAAGTGCGTGCGTATTTTTATTCCTGTAGAGGTGTGGCACAAGTGTCATCCTTATCGAAAATAATTATCCTTGCTGTCTTCACACTTTTATCATTAATAAAGGCAAGCTCCTCAAAGGTTGAGGCAAATGACTGTCAAGCCTGTTAGTAAACACTGTCAAAGATCCAGCCTAGATCCTTCTCATCCTTTGTTTGCACGGTAACCTATACTGGATAAGCAGGCTGCCTGGTACCAGAAGACTCTTTTGCACTGTCACTGCTTTTCTCCTAGATGCAAGGAGACAAGCAGTCAGAAAAGCTGGCTTCAAGCTTTTCAATGTTCTTTTCCTCCATGTAATAGCAAACAGTGTTTGATTCCTGTCAACTCCTTAGTGTTTTACCCCGGGAGGAATGCTTCCAGGAGAATAATAAATTAGAACAACAGTGTTACTCCTGAAGCTTTGGCAGGTGAACGTGTTGAGAGGTAGAGAAGAATGGCAGCTCCCTATTGGTAAGTTGAAGCATTGACCTTAGGGAGAGAAGCAGCCCCCGGGGGGGTCTGTGTCCTTGCTAGGTGCTCTGCTGTGGCATTGGCAGCAGCCTTGCATTCTCCAGCTCTCATCAGCAAGGAAGATGTGCTGTAACACTTGTGCCCTGTTTTGACTAGAATGCTTCTTGTAGTCACTGAAGATTGAGGAGGGGTGTGATGGGCACTTTGCTAAATAAAAGCTGCCTAAATTGGGAAGGAGGTGGTTTAACTGAGGAGGCCAGCCCGTACTTTTAAGTAGTTCTGACTTCATGCGGTTTCTATGGGCAGCAAAAACAACTTCTCCACTTATGTTAGTTTCTTTTTCAGAGGTTCAGGGGACATGGAAGCTCTGTAAGCTGCTTTAAAACTTTGCTGTTATGTATTTGCTGTGTCTTCATCACATTGAATAGTGCAGCTGAGCTGATGCAGAAAAAGCTGCTTTCTACATATTTGAGGGGGAGGGGCTTGAACCCCCCGGACTTTTAGATGAGCTTTCTTGATTGGAATTCAAATTGCATTCCCTAGCATCAAATAAGGGACAAGGTTCAAACAAGGTTTGATTTGTAAAGCATCCTTTAAATACCTCCAAACTGCTCTGTAAGGGGGGAAAAAAAATAACCTGTTGCCTGTTGTAATGCAGGTGGCAGTTCTCAGGGTGTCCCCTGACATGAACAAATTGTAGGCTCTCTGCTTTCTTGCCATCAGTATCCAATGTACTACAGCACATCAAAGCTGATGTAAGAGTTAATGTTTAAAGTGTTAATCTCCTCAGATGAAATGAAGTAATGCTCCAGAAATAAGCCTGTTGCTGAACTTCCACTTCAGATCTTTGAGGACCTGAATGCTGATGCTTGCAAATAAAAATAGCACAGTTTTTATGTGCTTTGTGTGAGCTGCTTATACAGCTGCTGCTTTCCTAAATTCCTGCATGCTGGGTGATGTACGTGCTCTAAAATCATAATCTGCTGCCTGAGAGCCACTAAAACTTAATCTACGATCACATGTTGGAATTGTTTTTAATATTAAAATGCTAGGAGAATGTTTGTGAAACACTTAGGAATTCTCTTGTTCTCCAGCACTGTTGTGGACAGCCACCTATCAAGATGTGGGGCTGCGTTGCACAGCTGAAACACAGCATTTGGAGCTAAAACATGAGCATTTGTGAGCAGATTTATGAAAGTGGCTGTGAATTCACTTAGCCGGTTAAGAATGATGAACTCTGTACTTGTGCCATATAAGTCAACTTCCATAATAAGTAACTGGCATCCCCAGACCTGTTCTCCTGTCTGCCTTCTGTTGCAGAATCCTGTTACAGGACTGGCTACTGGAAGCCATAACTAACTGCCTCAAATATGTCTTTACTCAGAGTGCCTGATATCTATTGCAGCTGACCAAATCAAAACAGGGAAATGAGTCAGCTGAAAGCCTCTGGGTCTGGAGCAAACTGGGAAGCCATTTTTGTTTCACAGAAACTGAGTTTTTTATTTCCAGTACAACACAACTTTGCCTCGGATCTCCT